AAAGCTTCATTTCATGTACTTTACACATGTTATCAGAAGGACCAATTCCTGGAGAAGGACTTCATGCATGGTCAAGAAAATGATCACAAAAAACAGGAAGATTCTCAAAAGAGATGGACTGACACAGCAACTGCAACAATGGGCTCAAACACGGCAATGACTGTAAGGACAGCACAGGACTAGGTAGTGTTTTGCCCTGTTGAGCATAAGGTTGCTATGAGTTGGAACCAACGTGACAGCACCTAACAACAATTCTGCACATGCAAATAGATTATTCACCCATGCAAATTTCTAGAACTCTTTCTCTGCAAGGTTCCTTCTCTCCAATACTCTGCCCAGTAAATTCCAGTGATCTTGGTCTCTCCCTGCATCCCGCCCCATGTTTGGTCTTGACTGGTCTCTTGGGTTTTGTCTGTATTTCCTCATCTTGCATCTGGCATAAAGCTATGTTTGTTTTCCTCCTCCTGTTGTTGTTAAGTGCTGTCGAGTCAGTTCTGACCCATAGCGACCCTGTATAGGGTTTCAATGGAATGGCTGGTGGGTTTGAACTGCCGACCTTGAGGTTTAACCTTGTGGTCCAGTGCATTATCTATCCTTCAGAACCACACCTTAGGAAAGATAATCTTGTGCCAGCTATTTATTACATAATACCTGAAAACAATTGTATATATTTTGGTCAAGTTTTCTAGTTATTTATGTTGTTGTTAAGTGCCATCGAGTCAATTCTGACTCATGGTGACCCTGCATAGGGTTTTCAAGGAGTGGTTGGTGGGCTTGAACCACCAACCTTGTGCTTATCCTACATCGCCACACCAAGGCACCAAGTTGTTTATGTTGTTGTTGTTTGGTGCCATCGAATCGGTACTGACTCATAGCAACCCTATGCACAACAGAACGAAGCAGTGCTCAGTCCTGGGCCAACCTCACAATTGTTGCCACACTTGAGCCCACTGATGCTGCCGCTTTGCCAATCCATCTCACTAGGGGTCTTCCTCTTTTTTCTCTGACCCTCCACCTTACCAAACATGGCACCTCCTGACAATATATCACAAATATTAGAGATGAAGTTTGGCCATCTTGGCCTTCAAGAAGCACTCTGGCTGCACTTCTTCCAACACAGATCTGTTGGTTCTTTTGGCAGCCCATGGCACTTTCAATATTCTTCTCCAACACCATTAACTCAAAAGCATCAATTCTTCACTGTCCAGCTTTCCCATGCATCTGAGGTTATTGAAAATACCATGGCTTGGGTCAGGCATACCTTAGTCCTCAAGCTGACATCTTTGCTCTTCAACACTTTTAAAAAAAGTCTTGTGCAGCAGATTTGCCTAGAGCAATAAATCGTCTGATCTCTTGACTGCTGCTTCCATGAGTGTTGATAGTTGATCCAAGAAGAATGAAGTCCTTGACAACGTCAATCTTTTCTCCATTGATAAGTATGTTGTTTATTGGTACAGTGGTGAGGATTTTTGTTTTCTTTACATTGAGATGTAATCCATACTGAAGGCTGTGCTCTTTGATCTTCATCAGTAAATATTTTAAGTCTTCTTCACTTTCAGCAAGCAAGGTTGTATCATCTGCATACTGCAGGTTGTTAATGAGTCTTCCTCCAATCCTGATGCCATGATTTTCATCACAGAACCCAGCTTCTTGTATAATTTGCTCAGCATACAGATTGAGTAAGTATGGTGAAAGAATACAACCCTATCGCACATCTTTCTTAATTTTAAACCATTCAGTGTCCCCATGTTCTGTTTAAACAACTGCCTCTTTGTCCAGGTACAGATTCCTCATGAGTACAATTAAGTGTTTCGGAATACTCATACTTAGCAATGTTGTCCATAGTTTGTCATGATCCACACAATCGAAAACCTTTGCGTAGTCAATAAAGCACAGGTAAGTATCTTTCTAATATTCTCTGCTTTCAGCCAAGATCCATCAGACATCAGCAATGATATCCTTCGTTCCACGGCCTCTTCTGAATCTACCTTGGACCTCTGGAAGTTCTCTGTCAATGTATGCTTGCAGCCGTTTCTGTATTACCTTTAGTAAAACTTACTAGCATGGGATATCAAAAAGACTTGTCCGATGATTTCCACATTCCGTTGGGTCATCTCTCTTTGGAAAGAGCACAAATACAAATCTCTTCCAATTAGTCAGCCAGATAGGTATCTTCCAAATTTCTTGGCAGAGATGAGTGAGTACCTCCTGTGCCACCTCAATTTCTAGAAAGATTTCAATTTTTATTCCATCAATTCCTGGTGCCTTATTCTTTGCCAATTCCTTCAATGTACCTTGGACTTCCTCCTTCAGTATCATTGTTTATAGTGGGTAATTTCAGACTCTATTACTCCCTCATGGTGGAAGTCCCCATTATTATAATAAAAGATTCTATGTAACTGTTTTGGTCCCAGAGTACTGTTTATCTTTTTTAAGAAAATCTGTATGTAAATTACCAGCTGAATGAGTAATTAATGCAATCTGTGCTCAAAGTCATTGTCTATAAGGACAAAGTGAATGCTTGGCTGTGCCTGGCAAACTATGTCTATCGTTATAATTCCAATACACTCTCAGCTTTATAAAAGATGCCTCAATTTGATTAAGACAGAACATTGTTATATCCCATAAATTGGGGTCCAGTGTTTATCCTACAGAGCTACACCACGACTCTGTAGTCTCTTCCAATTCTATTGTGTTGTGCAGACAAGTTTATATACTCAATTTTACCATTATCATTTTTTAAGCAATATTGTTCTCGTATCAGAATTTTACTTGTATCAAGTCCCACTTCTTTCTCCTAATACAAAAAACCATTTATCAATTTTTTGAAATCTTGCATTTCCAATCTCACTCACTATAGTAAAATGATACTTTTTGGTTTGTTTTGTTTTGCCCTATCCTTTGATCTTTGAACATTTACTAAACTAAATAACTATAGTATTAACTACATTTTTTATTTTTCCCAATTTTATACTCATTAAGGAACCCTGGTGGCACAATGGTTAAGCACTTGACTGCTAACGAAAAGATTAGAGATTCAAACCCAGCAGGGGCACCACAGGAGAAAAAAACAACAATATGCTCCCATAAAGATTGTTATTACTTTGTTAAGTGCCATCAAGAGGATTCTGACAAATAGTGACCCATATAGGGCTTCCAAGGAGTGTCTGGTGGGTTTGAACTGCCGACCTTGCAGTGAGTAGACCAATGCTTATCCTACAGCACCACATCAGGACTCTGTAAAGATTAGACCCAAGGAAAATCTATTAGCAGTTCTATACTGTAATATAAAGTCACTATGAGTCAGAATTGACTTGATGGCACAATAATATAAAGGCCAAACTGGTAGTGTAGTGGTTACGAGTTGGGCTGCTAATATCAAAGTAAGCCGTTCATGGGAAAAAGATGAGGTTTTCTGTTCCCGTAAAGATTTATAGCCTCAGAAACCCCATGCAGGGTTGCTATGAGTCAGAATCAACTCCATGGCACATAACCACTAATTATTTCATGGGGAACATTGTGACTATATAGGATACGCACTGGATTTGCTAACCACAAGGTTGGCGATTTGAGTCTATCTGCTGCTCCAAGGGAGAAAGATTAAGCTTTCTGCTCCATCAAAGATTTACAGCTTTGGAATAGTAACAATAATAATTTGTAGATGAACTTGTCTTTAAATTTTGGATCCACTTAATACATAGGTTTTTCATTAACAATAACAACTTGTAGGTGTTTCATTAGCAATAACAACTTACAGGTATTTATATGTTAGCTTCCTATTTATTTCTAGTAATTCTGTTTCCCATTGAAGACTAAGTTCCTCACTTTAACATTAAGTTGACTTTTTCAAACATTACCTATTTATATAACTTTAAGGATAGGACTGAGTTCTGGCGTGGCACTGTAGGAAAAGCACTGGATTGCTGACCACAAGGTTGGCAGTTCAAACCCTCTAGCTGCTCCTTGGAAACTCTATACAAGTTTGCTAAGAATCAGAACCAACTTGACAGCACATAACAACAACAACATACAGAATGGCATATATTAAGTGATTTATAGAGTCATTAAAGGAGCTCTGGTAGCGTAGTGGTTACGAATCGGGCTGCGAAACTTAAGGTCAGCGGTTCAAAACTACCAGCCGCTCCGCGGGAGAAAGATGAGGCTTTCTACTCCCGTAAAGATTTACACCCTCGGAAACCCTGTACAGGGTCGCTATGGGTCGGACCCGACTCGATGGCACTTAACAACAACAACAACATAGAGTCATTAATAATGTTTTTCAGGTGTTCTTTCTAAAATAAAACATAGAAAATTATTTTTTAAATGGTTTTAAAATTTTCTATAAGGATAAAAAAAAAAAAAAGGAGTCTTGCTTTTTTGGGAATAATTCCATGACCTTTATGTTAGACATTGTTGAAGTTGCTAGAGCTAGAAAAATAATAACTGATTAATAACTTATTGAGATTTAACAGCAAAGTACAGCACTCTAATCTGTCTGCTGAGGTAATGATTAAAATAGTTTTAATTTACAGGGAAATCAGGTTACATAAACAAAGTAATGGCACCCTATAGGAGTCCTGGTGTAGTGCTTTGGGTCAATTTGAATTGCAAGGTCAGCAGTTCAAGCTCACCAGCCGCTCCTTGGAAACCCTATACAAGGTCGGTAAGAGTCATAACCAACTCGATGGAACTTCACAACAATGGCATCTATAGCCTTAGAGTTATCTAGTTGGATAGACCTCAATCATGTCACAACCCTTGAGACATTAATTCTTTAATTCCTTTAGCTGGAGAGGGGAGTACTAGCTGATAAAAAGGTATAGGTATTATTATAAGATCTAAATATATCCCCTAGGAGTTGTGTTACCTATTAGCATGGTATTTTAAGACTAGGTCAAATCACCTGATCATAATTTATCTACTAAAAAAAGGAAAGATTTTTGGTTAGTGCTTATGAATCACTCGATAAGGGACTATATTTGATATGGGAATATACTTACTAGGATGTAACGTTGGGACATGCTGTCCAAGTCTGTCATCTTTTAGCATGTGTAGCAGTGTTGTTTTTCCTGCATTATCCAATCCAAGAAATACCAATTTACCAGTTTTCTTATACAGTCCTGCAGAGTAAGAGGTAGGGATTATTACCATTTTACAGATACAGAAATTAGAGCTAATGTAAAGAAAATAATTTGCCAAGGTTACATAACTTAAACAAGGATGCAGTGAGTAATTGAATATGTTGTTGTTGTTCTGACCCATAGCGACCCTGTATAGGGTTTCCAAAGAGCAACTGGTGAACTTGAACCGCCGACACTGAGGTTCAAACCAACTTTGTAGTCCAGCGCATTAGTAGGTCTATGTAATTATAAAGCCTGCATTCTTTTTTTTAAAATACTAAATTAAAATTTTATTAAATAAAGAACACTTTCCAGAACACAACACATGATATGATGGACTAGTTCTACATTACACGTAGTGAAGTTGAACAAGATGGTAGTTTAACATGGAATGTCACACAAATGAATATTCCTCACTGTATAAAAGTTTCCACAGCTGACTTGCAAGGAAAGAAGAAGTTTGATACTCAGTTTTTCTGCCAATCATTTGTGATGAGTTTTAAAAAGGCACTATTGAAGAAACTGGTAGATTTCTTTATCATATATTTAAAATAAATTAGTTACATGTGCACTACTGAACGTCTTTCAACCTCTCTTGTATTCTAAATAACTCTCAGTGCAAACTTCAAAGATGCTGGTCACTCCAAAAGACTGTCAAACTCATGACAGTATACAAATTCTAAAGTAATGTGTAATTAAGTAGGTCAAAACTAAGAATACCAGTTATAGCAAAATTCATTTGGGCACATTTATGTTTTTCTTCTAAGTCTCTCACAATAATGACTACAGCCTGTTAACAGTACTAAAATTCTATCAATGAAGCATCAATAATTACAATTCAGAAAAAGTAAATCATTTATTTCAGTAATACCATTACTGCTGTATTCTAAAAAAAAAAAAAGACAATAAGTCATAATTAACAAAACCAGAATCCATAGTAGAATACACAGGGAAAAACAATTTCAGGGTGGGGGGAAGTGTGCTTTACTTGCACTGTTGTTGTTGTTACTATGTGCCATGGAGTCGGTTCCGACTCATAGTGACCCTGCACAGGGTTTCCGAGGCTGTAAATCTTTACGGGAACAGAATGCTTCATCTTTCTCCCACGGAACAGCTGGTAGTTTCGAACTGCAGACCTTGTGGTTCGCAGCCCGATTCGTAACCACTACGCTACCAGAGCTAGGAATTATATAATGTAAATACCAAGTGAAAGCCTACATTCGTAACTACTGAGTTAGACATGAAGAGAGACTGCACAAATGTTATTGTTAGATGCCGTCCAGTCAGTTCTGACTCATAGCGACCCTATGTACAACAGAAAGAAACACTGCCCAGTTCTGCAGCATCCTCATAATTGTAGCTATGCTTGAGTCCATTGCTGCAACCACTATGTCAGTCCGCCTCATTGAGTCTTCCTTTTTGCTGGCCCTCTACTTTTCCAAGCACATGTCCTTTACTAGGGTACTATTATATACAGCATTAAATGGTATAACTATAGAGAATAAAATGCCAACATTACCTAAAAACTGTAGCACACTGCTGAAACCACTGTAAATCCAGTCAAATATGAAGGACATATCCAAATCTTATAGGGTCTGAAAAAGAGTTTGAGTTTAGTAGTTAATACACACCAATACACATTAAAAACCAGCATTAAACACCAACCCGTTGAGTAAATAATCTAGAACACCCTTACTGCAAAGAGATTAACACTCTTCTCCAGGCTAGTTTAACCTGTTCTATACAGATGCATAAAAAACAAAAAGCCATTAAAATGCTAACTAATGTCTACTCTTTGCCCATCAAAGTATCAAAGAAGAAAAAGAATTTTATCAACCAGGGCTACAGAGAATATGGTAAAAGAGGTACTGTTGGTGGCAATATCAATTGTTAGAAATCTTTTTGCAAAATCAGTTTGGCAATAATATATTTGCTAATATTATTTGATCTAAGAATTCTACTTTCAGAAATCATCCTAAATACAAAAAGCTTTCTGTATCAAGGTATGTATCACAAGTGTTACATAAGATAAATTTTAGAAATAATCTATGGCCAACAATACACTAAATATAGTATGTACAGTCTGTGAATATTTACCAAAGCCTTGTTGTTAAGAAAGAACAGAGAAATGAGAAGAGGAAAAGGAAGAAGGAAGGCTATGATGAAATTAAGAGTTTCGTGTCTGATTATACCTGTATGAATAAAAGAACCTTCCTAGTTTTTCTTTTTTTTTTTTCCCTTTGGTTTTTCAGTAGTGGTGGTACCATGTGATAACTTGTAAATTTCTGGGCTTGTTATCTTTCTGTTCTTTTCAAATTTTAATTACAACTGAGTACTTAAAAATCTTTTAACTCATAATAGAAAATACAGAGTATAGCTAAATTCAGCATTTATTTGAAATATGTCTTGATAAACTAATAGGAGTAATACAGAACATAAGCAGGAGAGCTCTTGGGAAAGGAAGATTACACATAGAAAAATATACTTTCAGATATCCAGGCCCCAAACTTGGATTGAGTCACAAAAGTTTGAAGTGTACTATTTTGGACATGCTTTAGATAAATTATGACATACAACACTGCTTTCTTCTCACTCTAGCTGGTCTCTACACATAGGTCTACCACACTCAGAATTCCTGGAAGATACGGTGTCAAGAGACCTCATTGCCTTGAGAGTGATACAGAAAAAAGAGAGTAAGCCTACATCACTTTGCAGTTTGTAAGAGTCCCTGGATCCTAGAAATAGATTCAGCAACCCCACCCCACCTTACTTGAACTAACATAAGCAGATTTTTGCCTGTGCAACCAGTAGAATGCTAAGTCAAGGTGATTGGCAAAAGTAGGAATCATTCTGATGATGTGCCCTGTAAACTTTCACTCAATGCAAAATAAAAACATTTAATTAAAAAAAAAAAAAAAAAGTAGGAATCATTTCATGTGTCAGTCTGACAAGAATGTGAATCACAACAGCAATACATATAAATATAAATCTGATACTTTGGAAGTGCCTGTTTTATTCAGGTTGAAAATTATACTGCCTTCTACTATTATCATTCTAGGTCATTAAGAAATTGAACTTATACTCAAAGAGCATATCTACAAGTGGCTTATTTTCCCAGATTTTAAGGTATGACACACGAGGGGGCTTCAAAAAGTTGTGGAAAATGGAAGTAAAGGATAATGAAATTTTTCTACACACATTTTGAAGCCCCCTCGTATGTTTTTCAAAGAGAATCATGATAACCTTTGCTGTACAGAATTCAATAAAGCAATGGTGTGTATATTGAGATATTTTATTCAATTCATGTTTATTAAGCCAATTTCTCATACTGAACTCTCTTGCTTTCTTGGGTTCCCACAGGAACTACTTAGTCAAGACCTCAACATCTGACTTTACCCACTTTGCAAACTACCATCAGAATGCCACACCAAAATGTAATCTTGGACTTAACTTGCATAGTCAGGGTGGCCATGTCTCTCAGTTTGCCAGGGACAGTCTCAACTTAGACCTGTTACCCAGTGGTGCTTTCTTTCACTCTCAAAAGGGTCCTGATTTTAGTTGACGAATTATATGGCCACTCTATACACTGTGAATAAAGAGCCACTAGAGGCTTTTGGGCTGAGATGTAACACAATCAAACCCCTGGTTCAGTATTCCAGAACATTTATTTTCTACCTCTTAGCTATCTTTCCAAACTTAACATATATTAATTTCCTATTTGTAGCCTTCCCTGGTCCCTGGGTCAAAGTGAACTGATTGCCATTCATTGCAGGTGACTTGTTCTTTATCACCTTAAAATCAATGCCCATTTCCATTTACAACATCAGAATGTTCTTCCACACCTTGCCTCAAATACCAGTCAAAATGTAAGGAAAAAATGAGTTCTTACTTGAGATGATATTTACTAGATAGAAGGGGGTGGAAGAACCAATGGAACTCATGATGGGTGGAAGAACTCAAAGAGATTGACAAAAGTGAAAAGGAGTAAGTCACATCAAATATAGCTTCAGAGTAGTCACAACTGGTCTTAGTGACAAGATATTATAACAGCATGAGTAGCCTGAAGTAGAACTGTAGTGCAGGAGAGTGTGCTTAAGGGCAGAGCAAAGCAGAGGACAACCATGATTCATTAACTATGTGGCCTTGAAAAGTCCAATTTCTTCTGAAAAATCTCTCATGAGTTATAAAGATCAAATGAGACAAAATGCAGAGTATTTAATACTAGGTTTCTGTGATTATTGGAAAATGAATGCAATACTGTGGATGCAGTGAAGAAACAGAATGTTCTTCTTAAGAAAAGGTGAAGCTTGAGTATGTTGATAAACTGAAAGACGGAGTTAATGGGAAGGGAGAAGTTACAAAGAGAAGACATTAATCAAATGGAAGAACAAGGAAGGATTCAAAAGGAGCCTAGACTGAGAATACAACCCTCTCTCTAGGATTAGGAGGTGGGCCAAGAACAGTGTAGTGGAGGAGGGAGGAATCTGACTAAAGGGAAGAGTTAAAGTGAATAGAGTTAAATATTGTTAACTTAGGGTACATGGAGGGGACCGCAATCATTGTAATGAAGCAAAGCAAATGGTTTGTTGTATGTAAAATTGATAGTCTGCTCAGTAAACCTTCACTCAGTTCCCAATAAAAAGTTTCTTTAAAATGTTAATTAAAAAAATGAAAAAAAGGCGTAGAGAAAATCTTGATCAAAGTAAAAGATTGCAAAAAAGAGTCAAGGCTGGCTCAGCTCACACATTCACAACATTGCCAATCTATTTTCTCTGCCTTACCACCTCCCCAGTCCCCAGAAAAGCTCAACTTTAGAGAAGCAGGAACCTGGGGATTTATGAGTTCCCAGGATAGGGGCTTGAGGAAAACAAGACACTGAGAAGACTGAAAAGAGGGGCTGAAGTGAGTAAAGGTAGGAAGGCAGGTAATGTATGGGGTTGAGATGGAGATTTAAGACAGGCTTCTCACAGAATAGAACTTGAGATGTAGTAAAATGCTGAGAGAGATGGAAGGTGATACAAAAGTGTGCCAACAATGGAGGAGAATGTGGGGTTGAAGAATTCAAGAGACAATCAAGTCTAGGGGTAACACACTCTAAGGTCTGGCTCTGACATGGATAGCTGAATAGGCCTGGAAATGAAAGATATTACAAGTTAGGCTAACGGGTACCATGTCCACACTGACAAGCAGTGGAATCACCTAGAAGAGTGGAGGCCATTGTTAGAAAAAGCAAACCAGTGAAACATGTAGCAAAGTTTTCACAGAAGTGCCAAAGTCCTCACTGAAGGTGACTATTGATAAATGAATATCATGAGAACTGACAGAATGGGGTGAGATTTAAAAAGAAAAGGATTATCGCATAAGGACAATACCAATTTGTTGTTGTAAAATTTGCCCCAAGAGAAATAACCCAGAGACACATGGGGATATTGATTTAAAGATTGTTGTTAAGTACAATGGAGGTGGTTCCAACTCATAGTGACCCTGCACAGTGTTTCCAAGGCTGCAAATCTTTACGGGGAGCAGAAAGCCTCATCTTTCTCCCGCGGAACAGCTCATAGTTTTGATCTGCCGACCTTGAGGTTAGCAGCCCGAATCGTAACCACTACGCTACCAGAGCTCCTTTGATTTAAAGATAAGCAGAGAAATTAGTACTTTTATAAAGTGGTAGTTTCTAAGATCCTCAAAACAAACTGGGATCACTGGAAACAGAATTAACTTTTTTTTTTTTTAATTGAGTTAAAAATGCCCAACTAAGATTAAAAGTTACTTAGCCACAAACAGACATCTGAGCCCTGAGAACAGGTTACACAACATCATGAACACACTATTAAGACATGTGAAGAGCAAAGGTCAAGAACAAGGAAACACACACGTCAGCAGATTTATTTATTGCATGAACACCAAACAGGAAAAGTCTCTATACAGATTAGAAAAGTAATCTACTCAAATAACACAAAAATCAGTGCAAAAGGTGTTTTGGAACATAACATCTCAGGTTACGATTAACTTCATAAAGTCTTGTGCTACCTAGTTTACATGAATGATTACATTTATATGAAATGTCTAGAATATAAGCAAATTCTTAGATAAAGCTGATTAGTGGTTGGGAAAACTGGGGAGAGGGTAGGATGGGAAGTAAATGCTAACAATTCCAGGTTTTCTTTTTGGGGTGATTAAAATCTTCTGAAACTGGATAGTGGTGATGGTAGCACATTTTGAATAAACTAAAAACACGGAGTTGTATGCTATAAAAGGATAAATTTTATGATATGTGAATTTTAAATCTCAATAAAAGATCATATAAAATTAATGTAACTGATTTATATAAGAAATAAACAAAGCAGAACCATTTAGGTATGAACTTCAAAAAAATAACACATAAAATACATTATAGTCTAAGGAGGCAATTTGAAGTCAAATTAAAATTACAGAATCAATATATCAATAACTTTGGAAAGCCAGGAATGTTCCAAAAATATATCTGTATTGAAAATGTACCTTTTTGAAATTTGGGGAAAGTCACTCTTTCTGAGCCCTAATTTCCTCCTCTGTATAATAGCGTAGCTCTTGTCTCACAGATATGCTAATAGACATGGAAACACTTTGAATACTACATTTGTTGTTGTTCTTGTGGTTGCTGAGTGTTGCTGAGTTCTTTCAGACTCAGCAACTGAAGAGAAGCAGCTTGTGGGTTTGAACCACAGACCTTGTATTTAGCAGTCCAGTGCTTGTCCTACAGCACCACACCAGGACTCGGAGGTAAGATATTTTAACTTATTCAGACCAAACTAATAGCAACTGAAACACAGACTTTAAATGGCAATTAGTACATTAACTTCAATATTAACTTTTTATGAAATTTTTAAATGATGCTCCAATTTTATCTTAAATATTAATAGCTCATCATTGATGATCATTTGAAAAAGTACTCATTTCTTTCAACTTCAGGTAAAGGAACTTTACTAGAAAAGGATCATCATTGTTGTTGTTATAAGTGCCGTGGAGTTGGTTCCAACCCACAGCGACCCTGTATAGGGTTTTGGAGGAGCAGCTGGTGAGCCTGAACCGCTGACCTTGCAGCTCAAACCAACTTTGCAGTCCAGCGCACCACAGCACCACACCAACTAAGTTGCGTCATGTTTATTACTAAAATGTATACAAGTTCCATAAAACTAATTCACAGAACAAAGAAAGAATTTAGGAATTATGTACCCTGCCCCACCACCACTACTAAATTCAAATAGTACTAAGTATGATGCAGGTCAAAGGATGTTTGGTTATGTTTTGTACAATTTCAGCAACTACAATCTTGAATGTTTTAAGACAATGCTGCTTCACAAATATTCTACCCTTAATTTGTTAGATTTCCTATCCATAGCCTTAAAGTTTGGAAACAGTGATGCAAACTTAAAAATTCAAGAAAACACTTTAGGATTGAATGGAGAACAATTGTAATAACAGAACTAAAAAGTCTTTTAGGTCATATCACCATAAAGTACATAATCAAGTTTCCTTTAGGGAAAAGTGACACTCAATTATAATTTAAAAGATGGTTTAAAAAATGACAACTATAGATAGTAGCACCATTTTTAAGAAAAAGATAAAAAAATGTTAAAAGATTGTGAATCTAAAATTGCCAATACTGAGAAAATAAAATAAAAACTAACATTTTGTTGTTGTTAAGTGCCGTGGAGTCTGTTCCGACCCCTAGCAACCCTGTATATGGTTTCCAAGGAAAACTGATGACATAGGCAATGACAAATTCAGACCTTTAAATACATTTGCTGTACACAAGGAAAGAGCACATTTGTTTTGTATACAAGAACTGGACTGCGAACTAAAGTCAGTATCCTGAGCCCACCAACTTGTTCTGTGGGAGAAAGATTAGATTTATTGCTCCTGCAAAGATTTGTTGTCACTGAGTGCTACTGAGTCAGTTTTGACTCAAAGTGACCCCGTGCAGAGTTTTCAAGGAGCAGCTGCTAAGCTTGAACCACCCACCTTGTGGTTCAAGCTGACCTTTAGGTCTAGTGCTTTATCCCATAGCACCACACCATGATTTACAGCATCAGAAATCATATATAGAGTGGTGTGGCACTGTGGGTTAATGCGCCAGACTGCAAAGCCATTTGAACTGCAAGGACGGCAGTTCAAGCTCACCAGCTGCTCCTCGGAAACCCTATACAGGGTTGCTATGGGTCAGAACCAACTTGACAGCATTTAATAACAACAACATGAGTCTAAACATTATGAGTATACAAGGTTACTATGAGTCCAAACAGCAATAATTTTCAAAGAAGAAAATATTTTCAATACTGTTATTTCAAAATTATTTGCTTAGTAATATTTTGCAGGGAAATCATATAAATGAATTTTAGCCAGATGTGTACTTAAAAGAAACTATCTACTGCCATCAAATCAATTCCGACTTATAATACACTACAAGACAAAGTAGAACCGTTTCTGAGATTGCAAATCTTTACGGGAGAAGACAGACTCATCTTTCTCCCACACTTAAAGAAAAGGGAGGAGAAATAATGAATCATTACTATGGAATTCTGAGCTTCAAATGATGTGGCACTGATTTCCATTTCTGATAGCCTAATCTTTTTATTTCAATTCCTTCTTGAATATATACTCCAGTACAATAATACAAGGCAAAGGAATGTTAAAATGTGCTTTATTTAAACTGCTAATCTTCATAATTACTGGCAATATTTCTCTAACACTGCTAGAAGAAAGGAAGTGCAAATTTTCCTTTCCTGCAAACTCAGAAAACACAGATTTACTATCTTAAAGTGTTTTCAATTAAAAATATTTTAGTGACAAATGCAAATCCACTAAAGAGTGCAATGTTAAGATATTGACATTTTTTTGACATGGTGGTGGTGGTTATGTGCCATGGAGCCGGAACCAACTCATAGTGACCCTGTACAGGGTTTCCAAGGCTGTATATCTTTACCAGAGCAGACAGCCTCATCTTTCCCCAGCGAACAGCTGGTAGTGTCGAACTACCAACCTTAAGGTTTGCAGCCTGATTCGTAACCACTATACTACTAATTATTGGTGTGAAGTCCTGGTGTGGGTTAATGAGTTGAACTGCAAAGTCAATTAAACTGTAAGGTTGGCAGTTCAAGCTCACCAGCTGCTTCTCAGAAAACCTATATATAGGGTCGCTATCGGTTGGTATACCGACTCGAGAGCACTTAACAACAATTATTGCCAAATTGTAAATTATCTTTTTTCTGTCATTTATTTTTAAAAAGGGGATAATACTAAAACCATCTTAGTGGAATACTGTTTGCATAGCTAGTCCCTTACACATGACAGTCAAAAATGTTCCTTTTCTTTTCTTCTTGCAATTCATTTGTTTCTGTGAGACTTAACTCTTAACTGATATTTTAACACTGAACATAGGATGTTATTCTGAGTAAAGCACCTGTTAATGTTTGGTATTGTTGTTAAGTGCCTTGAGTCAGTTCCCAACTCATAGCAACCCTGTATAGGGTTTCTGAAGAGTGGCTAATGAATTTGAAATACACAAAATCAGGTTTAATTTTTAATAAACTTAAAAGGGTTTATTCACCCCATATTGCCCGATGTTCCAAATATCTTAAATTCCTAAGGAATTTGGTTTTTTTGGTCAATGATGTCAGCATTTTAGCTGTCTCAAAACAAATTTCTACAATTTTGGAAAATTCTGGGACACTGGAATCATTACAGTTTTCCCCAACAGAGAATCTTTTCCTCACTAAACTGGGACTTGGGTTACAGCAAAATGTTAAGTAACACTAATAAGAAAACTCACTTCTACCATTAATGAAAAAGCCTCCTGAGCTGTCAGTGATCCCCGGCGCCTACACGTATCAGGTGAGGAAACTGAAGCCCAGAGGAAAGAGCTTGCATGCCGTTTACAGCCGTTATGTTCTTTCCTAAAACGACCCGAAATCAAACAGTGGTGGTGTCCTGCCCAGAAAACTATCAGTGGTCCCCGCGAAACACAGCAGGGATCAGTCCCCTCTTGCCGCTCGATTCCGGAACGGAAAACATATCACCCTTGCTTTTACGCAGGGTCACAGGCAGCACGCTTTCCCTGGGGTCCAAAGCTGGCACCCTTCGGTCCTCCCGGACGGCCCCAACATCACTGACCTGCAACTGTAGAGAGCGCAATTTCCGACTTGTCGTCTTCCCTATACCCTTCGAGACAGAACAGCACAGCGCGATGGCTGCCGTGGTCCCAGCTCCCGTCAGCTCCTTCCGGGCCGGCGCGTGCCTCACTCGAGACAGTCCGCAGGGCCGCGGAGCCGCGCGTTCATAGTTCCGCCTCCCCTCAGACCCGCAGCCAATCCATTGTATGAGCGGTGTACCTGCAGGCAGAGTCGGACCACGCTTACCTTAAGGGACCCAGGTCCTTAGACAGTGAAGAGATCATCAGCCCCTTGAAATTATTGTCATCGATTTTTTAAAAATGTTTTTAAAGTGCACGTGTTTCTTGAATTCACCAATAATTTACAAAATGCTGTGTACTAGATAATGTATTGAACGCTTAATACATTGACTCTAGCATTCCTCGCCAGTGGATTAATGTTCACTTCCTTTCCTTAAAATTATTTAAATTGGGAATATTTGGCTGCCTTGAATGAAGTATGATGATTAGTGATTCTAGTCTGCTTTCTGGCCTACGGTTTAGGTGACCGGCTGCAATCAGAAACTATTTCAGAATTGAAGCCGAAATAGGACTGTCATTCGTTATTAGATGAAGTCTCAACAAATCCTAAACTAGCTGTTGTCTTTCTGCTCCAGCCGCTGTACAATTTCTTGATTTTCTTACTCCATGCGCTCTCCGTTCGCATTCACCATTCCCTTTGCTGAAACTATTGAAGTTATCTAGATTATAATTAAATGTGTATGATTATCTAACGTCTCCCCCAATAGGCATTGTATAAACATCCTGAATTCTTGAACCATAGTTGCCATCTTCTCTCCTAAATCCATTTGTTAAATGCCGATAAATCGGTTCTAACAGTGACACTATTCAGGGTTTCTGAGGAGTGGCTGGTGAGTTTAAACCGCTGACCTGGTTTACCAACCTAGTGCTTATCCTACAGCACCATACCAGGATTCTTTTTGGATCTCATAAATATTTGTTGATCAACTCATTTATGACATGAAGGACTTTCAGGTACACTTTGTCCTCAAATATTGAAGCGTTTCCCTAGAATCCATGGGTCTGAATTTGAGGAGCTACTATGAGTCAGAATATACTAAATCTGAGTGAACTGGATAGCAAGGGAAATGGATTATTCCCGTCTGGATTCTCCTCTGATCTGCTTTCTGTTCACCTAATCTTTAATTCAGGTCCTAAAGTGGCATCAGTATAAGCACCGGACTCCTAACACACCAACCACTCTTTGGAAACACTATATAGGGTTGCTATGAGTTGGTTTAGACTCTGTGGCACTTATGAGTCTTTTTCAGTTTGGTTTAGTAAATACTTCTAAGTGGTCTTAGGCAGCTTTCCAGAATCACTCTACAGCTCTTGGCCTGAATAATCAATCTTTCTTCACTGATATCTCCAGCATGTTAGTCAGCCTTTTAAAAATCTAAATTGTGATTCCTGCTAGTTTAACACATTATAAAATAACTAGGAATTGAAAATTTGACAATAAACAAGACATAGTCTCATTCCTCAAGGATCTTTCACTTTATTGAGGAAATGTGTTATTTCATGTTGTAGTTGTTGTTAAGTGCTGTTGAGTCGGTTCCGACCCATAGCAACCATGTATAGGGTTTCCTAGGAGCAGCTGGTGAGATTGAACCGCCGACCTTACAGTTCAAATGGCTTTGCAGTCCGACACATTAACCCACTGCGCCACGCCAGGACATAGCTAACAATAAAAGAAGGTAGACAGAAAGGATAACAAAATGCAAAGTGATAAAGTGATAGTGGGGTGATGGGGTTTTGTTGTTGTTATGTGCCATGGAGTCGGTTCCGACTCATAGCGACCCTCTACAGGGTTTCCGAAGCTGTATATCTTTACGGTAGCAGAAAGCCTCATCTTTCTCCCACAGAACAGCTGGTAGTTTCGATCAGCAGCCAATTCGTAACCTCTACGCTACGAGAGCTACTTTGGGTGAAGGGGTTGTTGTTAGGTGCCATCGAGTTGGTACTAACTCATAGCGACCTTATACACAGCAGAATGAAACACTGCCCGATCCTGAGCCAATCTCACTATTGTTGCCATGCTTGAACCCACTGATGCTGCCACTTTGCCAATCCACCTCCCTGGGGGGCTTCCTCTTTTTCTATGACCCTCCACCTTACCAAATATGATATCCTTCTCCAGCAACTGGTCCCTCCTGACAATATGTCTGAAGTATGATAGGAGCACTCTGGCTGTACTTTTTCCAACACAGATCTATTGGTTATTTTGGTAGCCCATGCACTTTCAATATTCTCCTTCAACACCATAACTCAAAACCATCAATTCTTCTACAGTTTTCCTTATTCACTGTCCAGCTTTGGCATGCATATGAGGTTATTGAAAATACCATGGCTTGGGTCAGGCGCAACTTAGTTCTCAAACTGACATCTTTATTCTTCAATACTTTAAAAAGGTCTTGTGCAGGTGAGGGGATTGTTGTTGTTGTTGTTAAGTGCCGTCGAGTCGGTTCCAACCCATAGCGACCCTGTACAGGGTTTCGGAGGGTGTAAATCCTTACGGGAGTAGAAAGCCTCATCTTTCTCCCGCGGAGCGGCTGGTAGTTTCGAACCGCTGACCTTAAGGTTCGC